TTTTTTAAAGCCAAATATAGTCTTTACCTATTATTACTACAAAGTTAGAAAGAAATCAGTGGAATGCTGAAAAAATAAGGAGCTTTACTAATTAAGAACACAAGTTTTAACTTTATTATCAGAGTTGATCAAAGAATTTGGAAACTTCATGAATGATACAGCTCTTTTCTACAATGTATTTACATACTGCTAAACAATGTACATGGGCAATTTAGCTTTTAATTTGAGATATACAATTTGATTTATGAGTAGAAAACTTTATGCTTTAATAATAAAAGACTTTAATAACTTTACAGGGGTGGATTTTAGACATATTTTAAAACATAAGTTACAAAAATAAGAACTGGAATTTTTTCTTCCTATGTGAAATGCCAATATTCTTTTTTTTTCAAATCACATATTCTAAAGTAAAAGCTATCTCAAAAATTAATAATTATTTTAATCAACAAATCTTTAATATTCTTAAGCTTAATTGATAATGTTATACATGGGTACCATTCCTTATATTTAACATCCCAAAGCCTTGGTATATATATTAAACCTGGAAATTATGTACATATTATCTTCAGTTTGGCATTGAGAAGGTAATTTGGTTCCATATTATGTTATATGAACCAAGTCTCCAGAGCAGCTCTCATATGTCACTCTGAGGTACGAGGTTAAAGAAATATCAGTGTTCATTTTCAGCATCCGTTTCACATTACAGTTAAATATGTACATTCTTATTTTTTTGAGACAGGATCTTGCTCTGTAACCCAAGCTGGAGTGCACTGGCACAATCATAGCTCACTGCAGCCTTGAACTCCTGGGCCTAAGCAATCCCCCTGCTTCAGCCCCTGGAGGTGATGGCACCACAGGCACATGCAAATACACCAAGCGCAGGCTAACTTTTCATTCCTTACTTTTTGTATAGGCAGGGTTTCACTATGTTGCCCAGGCTGATCTCAAACTCCTGGACTCAAGCCATCCTCCTACCTCGGCCTCACAAAGTGCTGGGATTACTGGTGCGAGCCACTGCATCTGGTCCATTCTTTCTTAAGAAAGCTTTTCTTCCAAAAATTTAGAGCAAAGAGGCTTTTCAGTGTTACATATGGGGATATATCAAACACCTGCTTTTCAAATGACCTATTTTGCATCAGTTTCTCTGTCCGTAAGCAAGCCATCCAGGTAATTAACCCATCAAAAAGGCTAACCGGAGTGTTTTATTTTTATGCAACAAAATGAAGTATAGATAGTATATTTAGTAAACGTAGCAAGCAAATACCTTTATTGTAAACCAAAACCATAACACTGAAAGATTCCAAAAAGAATTGGTATTTCAATTACCTAAAATTTAAAACATTAAACATTTATTTTTAATTAAAAATTTAAAACACAACACTTACTGTTCGAGAAAATGTAATCAAACTAACAGCTTAACGAAGACAGCTTGAACTGCAACTCTGACAGTAATGGTATACATTTTAGTAATCTCAAACTTGCTCTCTGGGTCTATTATTTTTTAGTTTTATAAAAATATCTGTAAATGCAGCAAACTTACAAATTGAGAAGAAAAAACCATTAGGCTCTTAAATGGAGACTGAGTACAATGGTCAAATCCTAATTCTAGCTTTCCAGTCAGCATATCTAACTAATCATTCAGTTCTGTCACTGCCATCAGACTTCTTTTATGTTGCAAAAATTGAAGCACTTTTCCACGCCTGAGACAACATAAATATGAGTAATGGCTTCTTGCTTAACATTGAGGCTTTACTAAATAAAATGTGTACATAGCCAGCCAAATGTTCGAGCTCCACATACTCACTTTTTAACAACCAAAAATCTGGAGCATCTCAGCATATAAACCAAATCAATACTAGGGAAATACTTTTAAAATTCGACTCTGTCATTTGGGCAATTTCTTAAAATGCTGAAAACAGTGTAAACTGGTATTGACTGTTGAAATGCAATTTGAACAATGAACCTTTAAAATATTTAAAACATTTGACCCCTAAGAGCTTGTCTTAAGTAAAATTAAAATCAAGAGAAATCATTATATGCAAAGATACTCAGGGAGTATTGTTTCAACTGGAAAAACAAAACTAATCTAAATACAATGAGAAAGTGGTTACATAAATTACGGTAGATATTTTTGATAGAATAATATGTA